TCTCCGTAGTGACTAAATCATTCCTAGCTGACGTATTACTGCTGATTGATTATTTTTGCCTTTTAAACAAATCGATGTGAAAGTAAACAGACAAATCGTTTAAGCAAGTTCGCTAATTTCGGCCAATTCAGTGATGCGGTCATTAAGGATGAGCTGGACGTGATGGGAAGCAGTCAGTCATCTGATTCGTAAACGCATGTACCTTTATCTCTAGCAATCAATGCTAGATTTCGACCGAAGGAATCAATCCCAGATAGAAACAGCATGAACTGGATTCCTTTGAAAAATTGCTGGCATGACGAGAATCGAAAAATGTTTTTAAAAATTTATCTGAGAAATTCTAATCCACAAGCTGCTAATTCTCTACACAGAAATTATAATTATTGCTTTTGGTACTTGGCCTCCTACTCTACCTACGACGTACCAAAAGATGTCTTAAGTAGATTAGATGGAGCTTTTATGCTCATGAACCGAGGTATGCTTGTTAGTGTTCGAACAGTGTTCCCTATGCAGAAATGAGTCTTGCATCTTTGCACAGCAATTGATATAATACGGTGGACTTGTGGTAAGCGTAAAAAGCACCATTGGTTCGCCTGTGTTAAGAGGCTGTGCATTTTCGTTGTGCAAACCCAGCGAAGTAACATATGTAAGAAATAAAATTCCATCAACAGCAATACCAAGCTCAATTTAGAAAACTATTCAATTACTTGGGTGATCATGTTTTTAAATAGTCAGATCGTTCAAATATGGCATCGCGATATCGGTGACTTGGTGAAGACGTTTCTGCCATCTTATTGTGGCGTCACTGCTTTTAGGTACGGTTCAGGCTATTCGATGTCGATTCGCCTGAAGAGAGGTCATGAGGATCAACAGCAAGCATTGACGGCTCACTTTCGATCACGTTTCGACGATATTCGTGTAACGGATCGTTTTGCGAACGTCGTCAAGTATCGCCTGCCTTCGGAACAGAACAGCCTCTCAGACATTCTCGACTGTATCTTGAACGCATACGATAATTTCCCGGTCGAAAACTATTCCCTGTCGCAGACGTCGCTGGACGATGTATTCATCAACTTCGCCCAAATAACCAGCTAAGGTCACAGCTGACACGTCAGAATCTGCTCTCAGGTATCTAACAAAAGACGCTGTCATCGAATCAACGAGTCTGCCAACATTGGGCTAAAGGCGTTGCGGTGGCATCCATCGATATTAACCGATTTGGTACTGTAAGGTTCGTAATTATCGAGCAGATATTTGTCATCATAAATCCACATCATCATCACTCTGCAGTTACACTGTAAAGAAACGTCATTTCTATTTGAATAAACTAAATTTTAAGCGGTAAACTATGGTGTTTTCTAGAAAACTTCACAAAGTTTTATTGTACACAACGGAAATTAATGATTTATTTTGTCCTAAACCGCTGTCGACGTTTTGGTCAATCATTCAAGGGCCTTCTTCGATTCATCTTAGATTTTCCGTTGCTTCATGCTGCAACACGGAGATTAGGTATGAGCTTTTTCTAGCTGACTGCTTATAACATATTTATACTTGGGCTAAGTCACAGCAGATAATAAATACTTATTCTGCAGTATCAACGCCGTTGCTGCAGATGTTTGATCGTTTGAAGATTCACTGTTCGGTTTTGCTAGTCGAATGATTGTCATCCTTTTGTACTTTAAGTCGTAAATTGCCATACGGAGTAACAATTTATGTTTATGTTAGAACAGAAGTACTTCTGAACATGTTTCGACCGCACTTAATTCAAGATTATCAAAGTAATTGAGAAATGCTATATGGCAGAAGCATATTCATTTTTTTGTCTGACTGATATTTGCTTTTGCTCAGTATTTATGCATAAAGCCCTATTCTGCTGATTGTGGATCGTTGTTTCTATGTGAAAATTTATTAAAGCTATTAATAGTTGAACTGTTCTTTGTACTGATTTCACGCTTATAAGAGAACAGCACATAACTCCTGCAACACCAGATTTCACCATGTATTGCACTACCCGTTTGCGCCTAGTTTCCCAGAGGAATCATTTAAGTACGTCACAACTCCAAGTTTTTGAGTTTCTCCAGTGCCAGATGCAGCTGACATCATTTTGTTCGCTAGAACTCCTCGGACTCATTATGAAGCTTCTGAAGCTGGTACTCGTTATATATTATCATATAAATATTAAGATATGTTCGTATGCCAAAGTATTTGACACAATACCTATAGCGGTAGTATGTATGAACTACCAACTCCTGAAACATCGTTCGTGGTGAGATCGAGACGGCCGCAGTGTACAAAATGATGCGAGATGCATCTGGTACTGCAGTGTTCAAACACCATGAAGCCGTGGTACGTTCATATATACCCTAGGCAACTGTGGGACGGTGCAATATGCCGTGGTCTTGGAGGAGTTACGCGTTGTTTCACATTCTGAAATACATACATACTTTGATCGTTGTAAACAGACAGGATATTCCATCTAGTTGGAATCTTCCAGTCTGCCAACAACTGGTGGCCCTTCCGCTATACCTAGGATTAGCTTGATACTGAAAAAAGCAGACACGTTTCCACTGAAAAAAGGTTCATCAAAAAACAAATTGTTTCATATCTGCACTTCTGTTCTTACTGTGGCAGTATTTACACTTCAGTCTTCAGACACGATCATCACTCAGAAGTCAGCTTAGACTGTTGGTAGAAGAACTCTCCGGAAACATGAATCGAATGATATTATCACAGCCGATTTCCTCTTCAGTTCTGATCAACACTCCAACAACGTTGCTGCACAGAACGTCCGCGTTTTCGTCCGTCTCCCATTTGTGGTACTCGCGAAGAACGTAATAAGTGCCACTTTCCCTAAGCCATCTCCTTCCGGCAGACGTCGTACATAACTAATAGTAATAAGCATTGTGAATACGCTTATTTGGGCAATGCTACTTACGAGATAAAGCGATTCGAGAATATGTACACGAATAATTTTATCCGGCTCTCTCGTTTTTTCTGGAAGCATGTACTGGAGATCTTTGGGCATCAGGGCATTTTCATCATCGGACAACACCTCTGGCCCAATCAATGGATACAGCAGCACTGTCAAGAGTTTGTCGCCTTGCGAAATCAGGAATGGGTGCAAGTCTAAACGTAGTTTGACATGCAAATTCGCCATTTTTATTCGCATATACTTATATTCAATATTTTTCTGTGAACATGCCTCGATGTTCTGGAAAATGAAAACTTTCATAAGAAAGACTAATGGTGGCAGAGGTTGTGTCTCACCGACGTGCGAGAGAATGATTTACGCTGTGTCAAGTCTGACAGTGGAGAAGCCGCATGTTGAGTTTGGGCAACAGGTCTATCTGAGCTGTGCTGCATTTAACCAGCAGATGAGGATCTGTTGCCTCGCCATTTTGAGATTATGATCTTACATGACTGAGCTCGAAAAGGAACTCTGATAAGGATTGATTCTCAAATCCAGGATGACATCATGATGAAGCAACGAGTCTGTATGAGTGTGTTAGTAGGGTTGTCCTGACTCATCTTATAATCCAATGGGGGAAATGGCAGTTAAAGAAAATGCCACACTAGAATAACTTAATATCTAATCGAGACTTTTGCTGTTATGATAAACCACAGATTACAATCCTGATCTTACAGCAGCACATATCGACACATGCGTCACTAAACATGATATACTTCTCACCTGAGTCGACGCAGAAGTTTCTGATTGTAGCGAAAGCTGCTTTCTTCACAGTTGGGTCTTTGGACCGCGTCGCGCTCGTTACGGTGGAAAAGCATTTGAACTTCATGCAGTCCAAACCGCCTTCCAAATCGCCTCGTATCATTTCGTCTCTAATCTCCTTCACCTGCGACAGATTCCTTATGATATTGAGGCAATGGCACTGGGCCTCGCCTGCCTGGTCGAAATCCGCGCCAATTAGTCGACGGAGGTTGGTCGCAAACGAGTCGAATCGTGACAGAGCTACGCAGTGATCTGCTGCTATGGTCACGTTCGACAACAACGCCGCAAACAGGTGCCGATTTGAGCATTCCGGATCAACGGCCCACAGCCATGCGTCCTCCATGAACTCCGTAGCCCCTCGCAGCAAGTAGGCCACAAACTCGGACGATGACGCGCTGGCGTTTACGAACGTCTCCATCACCTGGCGTTGGACGTCCATTTCGTCCGCTGCCGAACGAAATATGGCTATGAGGCTGTTCGTCGCGTCGTAGTCCTCGTCTAACAAAAAGTCGATCTTCTGCGAACAATAACTCTTCGTCGTTTCCAGCATCTTTCTCAGTGCGTCAGTACCAGAAGCGATTTTCAGCAATCCTCGCAACTGTCCCTCTGCCTCAGCGACGTTGGCCATGGAAAATAGGTGATGCGCTTCGGCTGCTAAATATTCTCACTTCATATTGGTTAGCATAACTCAAAGGTGCAGAATGCAGAGTTTAGTCGTTATATAGATACCGGACTCCTGTAAATGCAAATGAAAAAGACAACGAGCCTTTGAGAAACAATAATTCACCAACGAACTAGGCAAGCACCCTGGTTATCTAGTTTAATATCGTGCATATGGATCGGCCAAAATGAAAGAAAACCGAGTTAGGTGACTAGAACGCAACATGTGGGCAGAAGCAAACTGAATCTAAAGAAACAGCATGAATATAAAAAGAGTATTAACGAAAGAACTTCTTTGACAATTCAAAAATCTTGACATCAAGGAAATACTAACGATCTAAAATTTTACCTGAAATATCGACACGCCAAATTCTTGATTTGATAGACAGATTTAGAATTGAGTTTCTTATTTAC